TCCTTTCCCTCAGAGGCTTTGCTGAATTATGGGCAAATCACATAAATAAAATGAAGTATTTTTATGGTTGAAGGAGCTTTCTGTGTAGTCGGGACCATTTTAAGTTAAATTGCATGCATCCATCATCAGAAACGGCCGAAAGCGATTATTGAAATGATAAAATGTAGAACGGTGAGGGATTCTTATAGTTGCTTTGTATGTCTGTAACAAAACTGAGATGAAAACTAAGATTTAATGTAGAGAGACTTTAAAGAAATTAAAGCCTTATATGATGTTTGATTATCATCCTTTATACTGCGTATGTGAAGATTTGCAAATGATTGAACAATTATTAAAGAATGAAGAATAGAAAATCTCAGTTGCTCCTTGGTTTTTTAAATTAATGCTGGGTAATATTGCTTTCTATGTTAAATTGTTATAAGTGGTCTGTCTATAACTGGCATAATCAAATTCTCCACTTATCACAGTTATGCAGGATATCACTCTGACTAGAAAAGACGCACAAAGTTTTGTCGCACTCGGGGAAATAGATAGCTAGCTACTGGAAAAGCTCTATTATTTTTAAAATAGCTCAGCCTCTTGCTACTATAATTGTAATTAAGCTAGTATCATCACTAATAGCTAGCTACTTAGTTAATTAATTAGTTAATTAATTAACTAATTAATAGCTAATTAGGAAGATAAAGGCAAGGAAGGCTGCAGGGCCGGATGGAATCAGCCCCAGACTGCTCAGGGACTGTGTGGACCAGCTATGTGGGGTGGTCAGGTACATGTTTAATCTGAGCCTCAGCCTGGAGAAGGTCCCAATCCTGTGGAAAACCTCCTGTGTGGTTCCAGTACCAAAGGCTGCATACCCCAGGGAGCAGACCTGTTGCCTTAACCTCCCACCTGATGAAGACCATGGAGAGGATCATCCTCTGCCACCTCTGTTCCTTAGTGAGCACAGTGCTCAACCCACTGCAGTTTGCATATCGGCCTGGCATCGGTGTGGACGACGCAGTGATCTACCTGCTGCACCGGGCACTGACTCACCTGGAGACCACTGGGAGCACTGTGAGAGTCATATTCTTTGACTTCTCCAGTGCTTTCAACACGATACAGCCAGCACTGCTGCATGGGAAGCTGGAGCGGTCGGGGGTGAATGATCACCTGGCTGCATGGACAATCGACTACCTCACCAACAGACCACAGTATGTAAGGTTGCGTGACTGTGTGCCTGAAGTGGTAGTCTGCAACCCCGGGGCTCCCCAGGGCACGGTGCTCTCCCCTTTCCTTTTCACACTGTACACCTCGGACTTCAGTTATAACACCAACATCTGCCACCTCCAAAAGTTCTCAGATGATACAGCCATTGTTGGATGTGTATCTGATGGGAATGAACAGGAATACAGGGACGTCATCAAGGACTTTGTTGACTGGTGTGAGTGTAACCACTTGCACTTGAACACCAGTAAGACGAAGGAGATGGTGATTGACTTCTGGAGAAGGAGAACACCGCACCACATACCAGTGACCATCCAGGGCTTGGACATTGAGTTGGTGGATAGGTTCAAGTACCTAGATGTCCACCTAAACAATAGACTGGACTGGCTGGATAACACTGATGCTTTGTACAAGAAGGGCCAGAGTCGCCTCCACCTGCTGAAGGTCCATTGGAGTGTGCAGGACATTATAAGGACATTTTACGATACTGTGGTGGCCTCTGCAATTCTCTACGCTGTAGTCTGCTGGGTGGGAGGCAGTACAGAGCGGGACAGGAAGAGCCAGCTCTGTCCTGGGCTGCCCACCGGACTCTGTGGAGGTGGTGGCTGAGAGGAGGATGTTAGCCAAGCTGACATCTTTTATGAACAACACCTCTCACCTCCTGTATGGGTCTGTGGAGACCCTGTGTAGCTCTTTCAGCAGCAGACTGCTACACCCCCAGTGTAGGAATGAGCGCTACCGCAGGTCATTCATACCAGTGGCTGTCAGACAACACCACATTACAGTGCTGTTCAGATGTGCAATATTTTATAATTTTATTTCTTACAACACCACATTACAGTGATATTCAGATGTGCAATATTTTATAATTTTATATAATTTTATTTCTTACAACACCGCATTACTGTGATGTTCAGATGTGCAATATTTGATCAATTTTATATAATTTTATTTCTTTTATTATTCCTAAGGTGTATATATAGTTATACTTTTAACTTTTCTTTCTTCCTTCCTTTTCTTTCCTCCTGCACTTTAACTGTCTGTGAGCTGCTGTGATAAGTGAATTTCCCCACTGTGGGATCAATAAAGTTTCTCTTATCTTACACCTCAGTACATCTGAATATATTTATATCACAAAACATCCAGTTTCGATATCGTGCCAACAGAATGTAATGGGTTTACAGCTTCAGTCTTTCAGTTCTGCTTGGCTGTGTTCAGAATGAGACAAAACAGAAATATTGGCATGTTTGGTCCTTAGAAAATGCACAAAATTATTGCATAAAATAAATATTAGACACACACACAAAAAAAAATCACTGCCACAAGCATCTCTTTAAAATGATTGACTGTATTATTAATCATTGATGTAAAATAAATGAAAATGGATGGGCATCCAAATGTTGCTAATATTTAATTTTTAAAATCTAATTAAATTGCTCTCTGTTTCCAGGAACTCTATTGCTTCCTTTGACTAAATTATAAATGAAAAATAATTGGAAATTCCTTTTGTCTACTGGCTTACAGGGAACAACTAAACCAATTTTCTTTTTTTTTAGATCTGTTGACCTGCACAAGTCAAGGCTTAAGCAAATAAGCAAACATAGATACTAGTAAACACATTTTGGGTTAAAAAAAAATGTTTCAGGGGCAAGTATACAGGAAGTGGGTGTGCTGAGGGTAATAATAATAAATTATAGATAAACAATAAAGAAATAAACAGACTGTATTTTGAGGGTTTTTTTTTTTTGGTTTATGTTTTTATGTTCATCACAGTTTCACAAATTTTCACAAATTCCGTTCATGTCGACTCTACTGACACACATTATGGCATGTTGAAAGATTGATAAACACAATCTGACATGTTCATGACAGCCTGCAGATGATCAGGCTATAGAGGGTTTACTGTGAACTATCCAAATAAAGTATTAGCAAAAATGTAGAATAAGAATCCATGGATTCTTCTCTTTGTCCATGAAACTGCACATTTCTACAATCATCTGTGCTTTTTTTTCCTGGCTTTGTATTTTCTACCTTGTTTCGTGAATTAAGATACAATACTAACAGAGTTCCTGTCGTAGTCGTTAATAGTTTATTATAAACAAGATGAACAGTGTATTTCTTACTTTGTTTTCTGTTTTAAAATGCAAATTACAGCTGAATTTTCTCCAAGCTGTTAATCTTTCTCTCGCAGTGGAGGGATAAACACGAAGGGATGATAGACCCCCCAGATGGACTCATCCATAAAAGAATCTGAATTTAAGTATCATTTTGTCATTCTCTTTCTCTGTTTTCTCACAGCATGAACACCAACATTTACAAATACACACCATGGGTTCTGATAATCACTGAAATTTGTTCACAACAGCCTCGGCAACCATTGTCAGGGCGGTAGATTTGATGAAGATGATCCTAATCCATATTAAAGCATTCTGTCTGTGGGAGTGAGTTGAAGGACGTGACTGTTGGGTGTGCACGTGTTCTTCCTGCTGCTGGGGAAGAAAGCGGGGAGACTGGTGCTTGCAAAAAGAGCACAGCACAGAGAGGAGAACGGCAAAGATCAAAACCCAACTCGCCCTGCATGCCCAGTGGGTATCTCATGATTAAAACCAGCTTCTCCGTGTCTTTTCACACCCCCCTTTAGCCTGAATTAATTGGGTCGTTAGTTGGGCAATTAAGAAAAGCCGACCATATCTGAAAGACGGGAGTGTTTCTTTTTAGAGTAGATCTGCAAAGGCAGCCTGCCATTCACGATGTCTCCATAACAGACATTTGAAACTGATGTAGTCCAGATCCTCCCAGCACTTTACTGTCATATTCCTGTTTTTCAGGGGTCGCCATTAATTAAAAATTAGACAAGTAATGGACTTGAGTTGGAAGGCATGGTGGCTTAGTGGTTAGCACGTTTGCCTTGCACCTCCAGGGTTGGGGGGTTTGATTCCCACCTCTGCCCTTATGTGCATGCAGTTTGCATGTGCTCCCTGTGTGTCCTCCCCCAGCACCATAGGCTGATTGGCATCTCTAAATTGTCTGTATTGCATGAACGGGTGGGTGTGAGTGCAATTGTGCCCTCCGATGGGTTGGCCCCTGCCTTGTACCCCAATTCCCCTGGGATAGGCTCCAGGCTCCCTGCGACCTGTGTAGGATAAGAGGTACAGAAAATGGATGGGTGCTCCTGAGTCTCTAATATAGGGAATAGTGTGTATATAAGGTTTGTGAAAAGTTCTTTGGATGATTAATATTTCTAGTGGGGTTCTACTTCCATATTTTCCAGACTTCCGGGTGATTTCCTTCGGAACTTCTGCAGTATTCCCGTGCTCGCTATGTCACACTTGTCCTAATGTAGCTTTTATTACATTTACACCTCCAAAAGCATGTGTATTGGCATGACTTATTACTACTCTTGCTATAGCTGACTGTGTCATTTGAATAGACAGTTGCTCTTTGCTTAGCCTTGCCCTATCTGCAGTGCAATGCTGATAATGATGCATGAAGCTCACAGGCTATGTGAATGCTGGCGACTATTCATTATCCTTCCTCTGACAGAGAGTAAAGCAAACAGCAGACACAATTGCGGTGCCCCAAATATACTGTAGATATTTTTCATTCATTCATCTTTAGTAAGCGCTTTAGCCTGGTCAGGGTTATGATGGTGCCGAATACAGGGAATAGAGCAGGTAATACACCCTGGATAGAACCCCAGTCCATTACAGGAAGCAACCCAGACACACACACACACACACACACATGTTCACAGCTAGGGGCAATTTAGCACAGTTTATCTACCTACTGACAGGGGTTCTCTGGTGGACTAGTGGTTAGCATGCGGTGCTCTCATTACTGTAGTCCGGGTTCGATTCCTGGACAGAGAACCGACACTAGAGGGTTGTATGAGCAGTGCTCTCTCAGTGCCAGCCCCAAGCCCGGAAATGGGGAAGGTTGTATCAGGAAGGGCATCCGGCATAAAACTTGGGCCAGAATCAACATGTGGATGGGTGATCTGCTGTAGCGACCCCTAACAGGAGCAGCCGAAAGGGGATGATAGGTTTTTTTTGGGAGATGAGAGGAAACCAGATAATGTCGAGGAAACACACAAGGACACAGTGAGAACATTTGAAACTCTAACATAAGATGTACCTTTATTGATCCTTTATTGTAGGGGAAATTCAAGTTGACACAGCAGCACAAGTAGGAGGAGTCACATCAAAGAAAAGAGTTTCCATAAATACCCATACAATAGAAATAATAGAAACAATAGGAACAATGAATAAATAAAATAATAAATGGCAATGAACAATAGTAGGGGAAAAAAATCTCTCTAAATAAATAAATAGAAAACAAACAAACAAATAAATAAATACAAAACAAACAAATAAACAAACTAATAAATAAATAAATGCTGGGACTCCAGAATTGTGTCTGGTTTTAAATGAAAAATTAATTGTAAGTTTCTAAGAGACTCTAATTTTTTAAAGAAAAGCACTTTTTAATTAAATAAATGTGTAATTACAGCATATTAGGTGTAGAAATTAAGCTTTGCAATCACAACAGCAGCACAGAACCCGCCCTGACTCAGCGGTCACTATGGCAACGCGCGTGTCTTTCGTGCGCGTGTCTTTCGTGCGCGTGTCTGTCTCCTCGCGGGACCCGTCCAGGCTTTTTTTTTTACCTCTCTCTTTTTTTTTTTTTTTTACCCACAGTGCCCCGCGCCGAGTCAAGATGGAGGAGCGCAGCGGCCGCGGGAGAACAATGTTTAGACGCTGAAGACAGAAAGAAACGACCGAGCTGGGAGGTAAACAAAGCACCGCCAGAGTGAGCGGTGGTCATGAACTGGTAAGCGAAAGGAAAGCAAAGCGAGCGTCGTGTGGGAGTTTTTATTTAAACGGCAGGAGGAGTGAAGAAGCGGCTCGGGGGTCAGACAACAAAGCGCGAGCGGCTCTGGCTACGCTAGGTTAGCATTAGCAGCTTAGCATGCGCGCGGAGCATCAATTGTTCGGCACGAGTGAGTGAGTGAGTGAGTGAGAGAGAGAGAGAGAGAGAGAGAGAGAGAGAGAGAGAGGCGCGCGCGCATGGGCCGGTTTATTATGAGCAGCTTTAATAATACAAGGTTTGGAGCATTTTGGATTATTTAAAACGTTTTTTTTGTAAGTGGAGGCGCATTACGTGTGTGTTGTTTACAGTCAGGGAGATTTGTTTGTTTATTTCGCCGGGAGAGTTGAACTCTAATTACGCCGTTATGCTGAGATATTAATATCAAGCAGAGGCTCTGTTGGGGCCTGTTTATTAAAGGCCTTTGCTTCTTTATGAGTCCAGATTTAGCTTAGTTCTGTAATGCTTCTGGAGTTCAACTCCACTCCTGACTTTGCGTCGTGACTTTATCTGTGATTGATGTTAGCCATATTCCCATCATCATCATCATCATCCTGATCATCATCATCATGCAACCGATTTTACTATACACCTCCATGAAGACCTTCATCACCTTTAAATCCTTTAAAACCCTTCTTTTAACTCTTTCAACATGGTTTTAATTAGCTTTTTTTTTGTTTTCTAGCTCTCAGAAAAAAGGTACCTTTCCTCCTCATTATCTTTTATACCATTTTCCATTTTTTACCCTTTAAAACAGATATAAGGTGCATATTTACACTGTAATTATTTGGGACACTACATGGACCAGACGTAAAAGATACACGGTAAACGTTTGCTGTTGTGAGAACCACACCGATTTCTTTCCCTCCACACACAGATACTTTTCAGGGGCGTCAAAAGATACATCACAGCCGTGATTATAACATGTGATGCCATTCAGATTTTCAAGACTGAGCCTCAGAGGGCCTGCAAAGCTGTTAGACATGTACAGAAATGAGTTAGGGGGACAATTAAGTGTAAAATGAATCAGCGAAATGGAATCAAGTTATTGTGTATGAAGTAAAAATAAGCTGACGATATCTGCGATCCTCTCAGAAAAGTATTTCAGTGTCGTATTGTTATATTATCATTTTGTCATCATCATACTGTCTCAAATATTAGTTTTTTTTTTTTTTGGAAAATTGCTCATTAATACTATTTTCTAGTGTTTCTGTGAGTAGTGCTTTCCTTTCTTCACACACAGTAATTATTAGTAACTTTGTATCCCAGAGCGTAAGTGAAGATAGAGGTTATTAAGTGTGGCTTATTGAACGCGGAGAATGTGGCAGATTGCAGTCATTATGCAGATCCTTTCAGTCCACATTTGCGCATGTTACTGCTTTGAATCTTATTTTTAACGTATTTCTTGACCGTGCGACTATGGTTAAGACTCTGGGTCATTTTTAGAGTTCAAGACAAATTGATTGTTTTTTTTTTTTTTTTAATGAGTTGTCGAATGCCTGGGATATTTTCTAGTGAAATCCTTTGAGTACGCTGTTAATAAAAGGCACGACTCCCAGTCGGAGTGTAGGTCAGATCGCACAGCTGAGCTCCCAGACGTGCGCCTGGTTAAATTTGCATAGGTGAAAGTAGCGCGCCCAGCCGTTGTAGTAAACAAAGCATGCCGAGCCTGCGTGTAGCCGCATGAATAATTAAAGCAGCGTTGAGAAAAGCCCAATCCTGCACACATTAAGCCACCATTCATCCCACTGACGCATGTGAATCCATTTCTCACACAGCACGTTGGCTCGTGCTATCCGTTTGCTAGAACAGTAGCTTTTTACACATTTGGTTAATTGCCTAACCTGGACATGGCATATTTGGAGTGGGATAAACATCTTTGTTTGTGTTGACACCTGCTCAATCGTTATAGGTCAAATAGAGTCTATGGGGGGAAAAAAAACACACTGACTGTGTTTTTCATCACACTTTAGTCCATGGACTTTCTGTGTTTAAGTTTTTTTCACATGACCATGCGTAACATTTAAACCAATTAGGCTTAATGCTTTTGAATTCTCGATTCTGATTGCTCAGAAGGTGTTGATTAATTTTCTGTAACAGCAGCTCTGACACTAGTGCTGGCTTTAATTCAAATCACATGCTTATATTATTATACGTAATCCTCCTTGTTTATAGTGGATGCTTCACTTAATATGAGACTAATAATAACTGGATTTAAAAACGTGTTATTTAGCAAAAAAAAAAAAAAAAGTGTAATTGTTAGGGTGAATCTTTCTGTAAGGAAACATTTATTTAGCTCTTTGCAGCAGCCAGGACGTTTTCCTCCATGGGAAAGTCTTCAGCGCGGAGGACTTTGTGCTTTTGTTGTAGTTTTTTATCTTATTAACTTTTGAACGTGGACACAGTTAGCTTTGGATGAGCAGATGTAGTCACTGGATTGGAAAGAGTTCATGATATCACGTCTTTTAAAAGTTATTAGAGAGTTTTAAGACAGTTGCAGTGTCGGTGAAACGGAAACAGGAGGTTCAGTGACAAAAAGTGCAAGAGTAGTCTGGCTCTTGCGATCATTCGTTTAGCTTCAGTAACTGCCTTATCCTGCGCAGGATCAGGATGGATTCAGCGCATATTCCAGGAAGACTGGGTGCAAGACGGAAGAACTGACCCCAGATGGGATTTAGGATATCACCCGCTAGTGTGTACTGTGTTCTAGCAGTATGAAGTAAGTTTTGAACTGCAGGCCTGATTGTTGTCTGCTTGGATATTTTAAATGAAGGTTGACAGATAGGTTGGAGTGGTTAGCTGTAGCAGGGTTGCTAAAGGTCATGCTCCACAAACACACCCACAGAGTGCACGCGCGCACACACACTGTTTCGGATTCAGGCACTATTACACGGCATTGATTTGATCTGCAAGAATCCAGAACTATTGGCAGCCTGTGTTTTGCCAGCGTGACGGTACTGAGGCTTCTCCTGTAATGCGTGATAAGATTGGAGAATACAGAGAAAGGCGTCTGAGACCTCTCCTCATTACAGGATCTCTCCACATCGTCCAGGCTCCTAGGTCTTCATCTCACACCACACGTAGTGGGGTTCAGGTCCCAGGACTTGGATGACCATGTCAGAAATGTCATTTTGTATTCACTGGACCATTTTATTTGTGGATTTGGAGGTATTCTCTGGATTGCAGTCCTGCTGAAAGGTCTGACCACTGATCCAGTTCTTACCTCTTGGCAGAGGCAGACAGATCGTCATTTAAAATCCACGATGCCATGTATCGCAACCAGGTTCCCAGGGCTTTTGGAGGCAAAACAGCTGCACGTCATCACAGATCCTTCACTATACTCACATAATAATGGGGATTTTCTCCTTTTTACACCAAAACCATCTTGTACGTTTGTTTCTGAAAAGCTCCTTTTTTTTTTTTTGTCCAAGTCTGAGACCTGAAGCATCTTGCAAACTCCAGACACTGACATTTGTGGTTGGATGAAAGAAGCTGTGCATGGGGGCCAAATGCATAATTTATCTAATTTTATTTTCATATTCTGTAATCTTTCCCATATTGGGGATGACTAAGGGAATCTGGCCTCTGTCACGTCATATTTATACACCGCTCGGATGAACTTAAAGGTGCATTAGGTAAGGTTAGTTAATTTCTTAATCAAGATTACATCTCTAATAGTCATGTAGGTGTGTTTGACATTTGAATGTGTGTTTTTTTTTTTTCCCTGCCCCTCCATTCCTGCTTATGTTCACACACAGGATCTACGGTGGCTCGTAGAGTGTCTTTAAAATGACTGACAGGAGGCCCGTTCAAACAAAAACAAGCGTTCCAGACCACAAGTCCGTTTTCCAAATGGGTTTTCTCAGCCACTTAGTACGCTTCTGCTGAGGTCATGGTTTAAACCAATATATATTTTTATCATGTTCAAAAGATCTTCCAAGTTATTTGTACAAGTAATAAATAAATAAATCGACCATAGCACCTTTAATGAGATAAATTACAT